GGTTATCATCCAATCAACCTGTCTGACGATACTCCTTGCAATACAGTTACCAGGGACAGAATTGTCAAGTTATAGGTAAACATCTGCCAGATTTAGAATCCCTAATTTCTTTTTTCGCTACTACAAAATTTTAACTCCGTTTTACTGAGGTTAATGGACAGTTTGTTGTCAATCAGCCAATCTCTACATTTTATCGAGCGTTACAGCAACGATAGGCTTAGTTGAATTTTTGTTCCAAAATTAATGGCACTGTCTTCGACATCTAAAGTAATTTACAATCAGAGACAATGTTGACCACCATATCGTTTATATAAGCACAAAGCAAATGACCTAATATGCTACCGTGAGTACCGGTACACCACAACTTAACTTATGAGTTACCGTATATCTTCGAATTTACAACTTGGTTTCTGTTAGGCCTAAATAAGAACGAAACCAATTTAATGAGTTAAAGAAAGTTTTCACACAATCGTGATCGACAGTATCAAATGCTTTACACAGATTTATTAGAACCACACCAGATGCCTTTAAGAGTTATTAAATTTAATATTATCCGAAAGATTAATTAATGTACTATCGGTTGAATGATATTGCTGAAAGCTTGATAGAAATATATATATATTATAAAGGTTATTTTCCACAAGATATTGTTTTAATTGAATGTCAACAGACTTTTAAAGAATTTTGGAAACCAATTGTATATTTTCTAAAGTAGTCACTTTTGACCAGTTTATTACTGACAGTCTTGCCAGAAAATCCTCCTTGTTAGAGTTTATTATGATCGTGCGTCTGCGATTAGTATTTTGCCGATACGCGATTTACGTGTACAAAATGCCAGCATATCAGTTAGTCCTGTATTAATAACACCAGAGTTAGAAATGTTATCCTGGGAGTATACGCTTCATCGTCATCATCATCGTCATCATCATCACCGTCATCGTCATCGTCGTCATCGTCATCGTCATCATCATCATCATCATCATCGTCATCATCGTCATCATCGTCATCATCATCATCATCGTCATCATCATCGTCATCATCATCATCAGCATCATCATCATCGGACGTCGTCATCATCTTCATCATCATCATCATCATCGTCGTCGTAATCATCATCATCATAATGATCACCACAACCATCATCATCATCACCATCGCCACCAACACTATGCGTAATGGACGAAATCATTAGCATGTTGCTAGAAGTAGACCTATCTCAATCGATGATACCATAGCAGGCCTTTCCATCTCTCCGCCCTTTAACGTTTTTTCTTTCTTTTTTTTTTAATGGCAAGAGAGAGTCTGTAAGGCTTTCTGGACCATTTGAACATTTCCAGTATTTTTAAAATCATCTAGCCATCTCGTTCTCTTTATACATAATAAAGCTTAGTAATATGATATGATGATTCTGTTGCTAATGATTATTATGGGCCTAATAAGAATTAATGGGAAAGTAATTGTACTCTCTAATAATTGACTTATATTAAGATAAAGACAATAGTAGTGGTAATGATGATGATAAAGATCATGATCATGATAATGTTGATGACTTTATATTGTTGTCAGATGATATTGATTACGATGGTGATTATGATGATGATGACGGGGATAAGGATGATATTTTGATAATTATGGTGATGCGTGACGATAGCAAAAACTAAGAATAGGCCTAGGTAGGTTGTTATAGTATTCAGTTTCTTGTTATACGAAAATTATAGCTTAGAAGAGCAATCGATTAAATACATATGATTCAATTCAATTTAGTTCAATAAAACAAATTATCCCACTATGATAATTCTAATAATAACTAGTACATTGTAAAAATACAAGATAAGCAAACTGATTTTGCATAATACTATTTCCAAATCACTTTAATGATTGTTGAGTGGAAATATGTATGTGTATGGTGCTGCCTCCAAGTCCATAGTCCTTGGTTTAAGCCTGAAAGAACTAACCAGTCACTGAAATTAACTCCAATTCTGAAGCATAATGATGAATTTTAGAGTTTTAGAGTATTAAATCCATCTTGTAAGTAGCTAAACCATGCCACTGTTTAGATGAGTGAGATAAGCTGACTGCGACGTCGGTGGGCCTATACATACACGGTTCCTTTCTTAAATGTTGGGTCTTTTTGTCTTCTTTTATTCCAAATCATGTTGCAGCCTAGTAAAAAAATTGGAAAAAAAACAAAACAGTAAATTTAGTTAAGACTATTGAATATTTTTTTAATATTACGAGATATCAAAGACGTTGCTTGTGTTAAGCTAACAATTAGATTGTAATCATAATAACATAAATGATAGTTACAGAATAATTACCCTATAAATGAGTTGGCGTCTGCGCCTTTATGATGTTTGTTTCGAAAAATATAGCCGACCAATAATAAAATGATAGCAGTCAGTGAGACAGTCACGACAATGAAGCCGACGATAAGGTTGGTATTTGATTGGCTAGTTTGATTGTCAGTTTTTGACGTTACTGTTGATGGAAAAAAGATATACAAAAAAAAAAAAAGTTATGCTCTTGCGTAACGAAACATTGATGTGTCAAAGACTATACAAATTAGTATTAAAAATAAAAAGTGATGTTGCAGCAAGAATATCAATTCGGGAAAATAAAATTGTGTTTCTAGAAGATTTGAAACAAATTGCGGATGGCCTTCCTGGAAAGCAAGCTACAGCTCCATTTTTCTATTTATTGACATGTGTATGTTTAGAATCTTTTGTTTTAACTTGACATTAACCTACGTTTTTGTAGACCGCAAGTACTTCCGGAGTAATCGGACGAACACAAGCAACTAGTTCCGTTCTTTTCCTCATTGGTGACACAAGTACCACCGTTCAGACAGGGGTTACTGAGGCAACCTAATTGACAAAAACAATTGTACAGTACAATGTAAATATCATGTTTATGCGTTTGCGTAAGTTGGGGAAGTCGCAAAAACAAATGCATATTTACCGTTGCTAGTGGCACTACACGTCAAACCTATGTACGGAGATTTACACTGACATACGTAGAATGGTGCGACTGAGATCGAATGACAAGTGCCTCCATTTTCACACGGGTCTTCTTTACAATGGCCTAAGAGAAATATTAAAGTCAAGTAATTTAGTGGCGATGTATTTTGTATCTACTGTAATTTCCTTTTTCACAAAATAAAGCAATCTGAATCTGAATAACACCTGTACATCTAAAAATTGTTTGCACACTGTTTTAATTTATAATTTTAAAGAGAATCTCTTGCAGATTGCCGTAAAAGGTCTCAGTATGACGAGACGTGCCATGATACAAAGGCAATGTCCAATGCAATTGAGCTTATGCCTATTAAATCATAAAGGTCTATATTAAACTCAGTGACGTAGGGCGTTATTACTTGATTACTTGCGCCCCCCCCCCCCAAAAAAAAAATCCCCTTGCGCCCCCCTCCCCCCAAAAAATCCCGGTCAATTAGTTAAAGATCGCATAAAATCACTTTATTTTGCGAGTTAGTGCCCCTGACCTGCTCATCGATCCCGCACTTTACCTTTGAGCCCCCATCAGCACCCTACTTTAAGACTCGAGCTGGATACGCCACTGATTATAATATATTACTGACAGTATTGCTAGAACTTCTTCCTTGGATGGCGTTTATATGATGAGTAAATTGTTTTATGTGATTTATTTGCATCCTACAGTAAGTATCTGGCCAATACAGGATGGACTTTTATAAACCATGTATCTCTATGAGGCTTAGGGAGTGGAATTGTTTTAAGTCCTGTCCAGGCATGATCTATCTATATATGGTCATGGTGTCATGTCATCATGATCATATTTCAGCTCCAACTCAAGGAATGGTTAAATAAAATTATAATAGTAATTAATACGGTTGTATAAAATCGTCGCTCACATCACGAACTAACACAATTAAATTCAATTGTGTTAGTTCGTGAAATCAAACAATCGCGTCAAAATACGCGCTGTTGTTGTTAAGTTATAATAGTAATTAATACGGTTGTATAAAATAACTGACACAACCCAAGTGTCAGGAATACTATAGAAAATTGCGTTTGAAGATGCTAGGTCACATTTTAGATTAAATGAAAATACAAAAGCGTTTACCGCCATGTTATTTGCTCAGGTAATTCAAAAACATATAAAGGTCGTGCTGGCAAAGTCAATTGCAGGCGGACTTAAGAAAGAGTCATCTCTGTCGTAATAGTTATGAGGATCTCATGTATCTTAAAGAAATTGCTAACGATAAGGTGTCATGGCTAAATTAATTTTAATTGTATGTATGTCCTCCTCATAAATGCAATGAAACTAATCACAATTAGACTTTAACAGAAAGTGTGTTAATTATACCATTTTTGAAATTAAGTTTGAATATATAATGCTTTCCACTTTACCGATATACGTCTGACATGTGACTCCAGAATAATCTTCAGGACATGTGCAAACAAAGATTGCCTTCTCGGGATCCTTCGAGCAATTTCCACGATTCATACAAGGAAACGCTAAACAGCCTGTAAATCAAATCAGTAAAACCAGAACTGTTTTAACTATTAAACTACAGGCCTACTTTAGAAAACAATGAAAACTTTGGTAAGAACGGAACAAGCTTACATTTATGATGATATTATGATATCAAATATCTTTAAAGTATTGGCAACCAGTATGCTACGAGACAATGTGAAATCATTATAGTTCACGGTGCAATCGAAAGATATATGGTAAATACATTTTATTCGAAAAAAAAGCAAGCTTACGTTTGAATTATGGAATTGATTTTATTACAACAATGGGAATTGGATTGGATTCTTCTGTGTGGAAGACACCAAGAATAACCCACGAATTAAACACGAAAGTCCGCAGACTTAATTCCAGTGGTTTTTTTGTTTTTGTTTTTTTTTTGTTGTTTTTTTTTTGGTGGTGAATTGGGCAGTACACGCTATAATGCGCAATATAAATTCATATTATTATTATTATTATTATTACACCGGTGATAATTCCTGTTCGAAGAGTGTACTAAGTTCTTTGATAACGTGCACGTGTGCCGATTGCACACGAGACCAACGGCCTAAACGTCTCATAGCCCAGTGAGCTAAGTCTGGTTGGAAATGTTAAACTCATTACATACCTTTATATATTTCACAGCGAGTTCCTGTGAAACCATCCTCACATTCACAAGAATAGCTCTGATCATTATTGATACATTGCCCACCATTCTGACATGGATTACTCATGCAGCCTAAAACAATAATATCATTATTAAAATAATAATGATTTTGGGTCAATAAAGTCATAATTATTCATAAAAATTCAATATTTTAATACCAATTGCTTTCACATGGAACTTAACACATTTTCGTTTTCAACGACAAAATACGACGGTATAGTTTAATAGTTCAATTTGACGTACGTTTTCAGAAGAAGTACACTGACATCTTACTTGGAGATAACTTGGATCTGCTCTGATTATGGAATTGATTATAAGAAGAAAAGTTGCCAAACTAAATCTTCTCATGAGTACCATCAACTGAACAAAGAATGGAGAGCAAGCTTTGACAAGGATGGATGTGTCGGTAAAATAAAAATCAAACTGGAATTGCTGCAAGAGGGTGTAAGAAAAAAATGTAGCAGCTAAAGAATAAGCTCTCTTCTGCCGGCTGAAAAGAGTTTGATGGATGACATATTGATTCATAGCAAATCAGTAATAATAGTCGGAATGGAATGATAATGATATGGAGCAACAACTGCAGAGAAAGTTGATAAAGTCACTCACATGAAAAGAAATGTCACATGGTTCCGGTTCATGGACACCCAAGAAACTGACAGGCCGGTTGGCAGCTTTTGAAATGTAAAACCTTAGAAGGAACAAAGTTATTAATGAAGAAGAAAGCAGACTGATGAACGTTATAAAAATAAAGATTTTTCGGTCATCTTTTCAGAAAGGATAGGCTTCAGAGACTGCTCAGTGAGGGTAAAATGGATGGAGAATTAGAATTAGGCAGGCCAATAGATTCTTGGGCCAGAGGCATCAGAAAATGGTTCAGCATTGTTTAGGAACATCTGTCAGGATGGCATAAAACAGAAGTATGTGGAGATCAATGACAACAAAAAGCCGAGACACCCACCCAGGTAATTGGTAATGGTAAATACCTAATACTTGTTTTTTGCCTAAGGGTAATTCTATTAATGATTACATACTTTGAATGGCTACTTGCTCTAATTTGCAAATACTTGAACAAGTGCTTTTGCAGACGCTACGATATTTTGGAATCCCGGTTGGGGAAAAATATATATCTGTCTCTTATACACATCTAGATGTGTATAAGAGACAGCTTATTATCTATCCAGGCACCACTTTTTGTTTATTCAGATATCTTTGTTAATAAATTAACTTGCAATTCCATTTTCTTCAGAAAAAGCAAGATCATTTACACATCCAGGTGTTTGAATATAACCCCTTCCATCTTCAGTAGAAATCTGAGATTTTGACATTGTTCTTTTATAGGGCTGTCTCTTATACACATCTATAATGATCAACATCAGAGGGGAAAAAAGATATATATACACATATGATTTGTGATTATTCATCGTCATATTTGAACATACACACTCACACACATTTCGATTGGATTGGATTGGATTTAATTCGGTGTAAACACCAAAGATAGCCCACTTAAGTCTAGAAGAAGACTTATTTCCAGTGGGGTCCTTCTAGTGGCTGTCTCTTATACACATCTAGATGTGTATAAGAGACAGTAAGAGGGCTTTTAACAACTTCTGTGGTTTTTTGGCGGCGTCATGTGGGGGGGGGGTGGAGGGTGCGAGTAATTTTTTAAGGGGATAGTGCGCCTCCTGCACCCCTAAATACGACACTGCATGGGCCCCAAATCGACTGAATGCGGTGACTTAAGGAGCAGAGTAGTGTAAAAAAGTAGTGCAAAAACATCAAAATATGCATTTAAAGTGTACGTGATCTCAGTCCGTTACGCCAGTGCAACTGATTAGAGATCGGTAAACTTATACCATAGACATGTTCGATTGAAATCTCAAACAAAATAAAATAGGAATACTGTAATGCTTACCTATGAGCAGAGTAAAAAACCTGCTTTCGACAAAAGTCGGAACTGGGCCAAAACGCCTTTGTCTGAGGATAATATCTGTAGCAGTTAGACTGGTAGAGCCTCCACTCAGAAGGACACCGCAATGACGATGCTATAGATGCTAATATAATTGTTAAACAAATGGATCTCATTTTCTGTTGGTACCGTATCTAATAATATCTTTGGTGGCTTATGTATAAATGTTAAGTCAAGAGAGTTGTTGAACCTTAGGTGTTTATATTCCATATTCATGGCATATAATCCTTGATTTCCATGTCCGGGTTGACTCTCGACATTTCTACAGGAAGAATCAGCCAATACCAGTAAAGGTGATAGTATTGTTTCATAAAATTATACGACTCTATGATTGATATCTGAAGTTACGTTTGAGTTTAGGCGAAGTAAAAGTGGGCGGAGCCACGAGGCAGCCCAGAACCCCTTAGGGTTGCTTTATCGAATTAAGTCTCACAATCTGTAAGAGATTTTCTTCCAAACAGGGAAAACCAGTTCACTCCGACGGGGATAGGGGGGGGGGGGGTTGATTGGCGCCACCACAACATGGTGTGCTGAATATTATAAGAAACAAATAAAATAGATATTAACACGATTAGCAGGCCTTCATCCTGCACCAAACATTGGACATGAACTGAGTCAAGTATTTGAGTGTTACTTTAAAACAATAGGCCCTACCGGTAATATTTATGATTTAATTTCTTTTTGGTTAACCAAATTATTAATTTCTTCCAAGAAATACCGGCAATAATCGTATAGAAAAAGATCGTATAGCCCCGCTACGCGGCGATAGCGGCGCTATACGATCTTTGACCATAGCATATGCCTTTCCGATTCCCCACCCGTTTCAGTGAAGAGAAAGTCTATAAGGCTCTCTAGACCAGTTGAATATTTTCACTATTTATTTTTATTCATCTTGCCATTTCGTTTCCTTCATACATCATAAAGTAATTATGATATAATGATAATGATGATACCTGTCTCTTATACACATCTAGATGTGTATAAGAGACAGTATATATATATATATATATATATAAACCAACACTCGAGAGACACTATTGGGTTTCATGAACTTATTGAGAGTTGATAATGACTTACCCCGATTAATGCGCGGCACCTACCAATCTGATACTTACCATTATACCACGAGCAGTCTATGCAAGAATACGGTGATGGACAAATGCATACTCCGTCGTCGCTGAATTTTCCGCCATTTTTGCAATCGGTACTGTTATATATCCTACCTAAAATTTGGAGTTCAAACCACTGTATTATTTAGATATTTCCTTCATGCTGTGTTTTGGTAATGCTTTAGATACATTATATTTTAGAACACAAAATACCGTAAATGCTCAAATAACCGCCGCTCTCGAATAAGCGCCGTGGTGCTTAATCGAGAATATATAATTTTACCCTGTGTGTAATAAACAGGGTTTTAGATACAATGTATACAGTGTTAAGATGAATAACTAACACAATGAAAACAAAAACATTTATTCTATATTTTTCAAGCATTTTATTCTATTCTATAGGATATAGGACTAAGCCGTTCACTTACTTTCAAAGGGTGACTTAAGACAATCATCAGCAGGCACTTTGCAGACAAAACTCAAACTCGGCCATCCAGCATCATCCCATTTCGATGGAAATTTAGAATTCCACATTGTGCCATAATGTTGTATAGACCTGTCTGGTTGCCCGGGAGCCCAATTGCTGTATTCAAACGGTGACCCATCAGTCCAATGCCATGTTCGTTTCCCCTTAATCACATTATTGTATAGCCCAAGCTGAACGGTGATGCTAGGCGGCACGATTGAGAATACAAATGCATTTTCGTCTGGGCTATGTATAGATACCAGTTCACTGTTCGTTGGCTTGGTGCTGGCCCATGGAGTTTAAAGAAACAGGCACGTATATTATTTTGAAATAAATAGCTATATAACAATGTCTTCACACAAATTAAACACCAAGGTGACATTAGATACAATGTCATTTTATTTGTTAATCTTTCAGATCTACCATTTGAAGTATACGCTTCTTGCCGACATATACAAACGATCAGCGGCTTAAAGAGCTCTCACAGACTAAAGCCATTGGCCCGGCCCTGGCCTTAAGACGCCCCAAGGATATTAATCGGCTTTTTTGCAATGACTATGGGTAAAGCTATGGGCCCCGGTCCTTAAGAGGCCCGGGATATTAATCGGCTTTGTTTTGCAAGGACCATGGGCCCGATATTAAGGAGTCTTGAAGTGGAGGTGATGATGGGGTGTGGTGGGGGTGGGGGCCTCTTATACACATCTAGATGTGTATAAGAGACAGTAAGAGGGCTTTTAACAACTTCTGTGGTTTTTTGGCGGCGTCATGTGGGGGGGGGGTGGAGGGTGCGAGTAATTTTTTAAGGGGATAGTGCGCCTCCTGCACCCCTAAATACGACACTGCATGGGCCCCAAATCGACTGAATGCGGTGACTTAAGGAGCAGAGTAGTGTAAAAAAGTAGTGCAAAAACATCAAAATATGCATTTAAAGTGTACGTGATCTCAGTCCGTTACGCCAGTGCAACTGATTAGAGATCGGTAAACTTATACCATAGACATGTTCGATTGAAATCTCAAACAAAATAAAATAGGAATACTGTAATGCTTACCTATGAGCAGAGTAAAAAACCTGCTTTCGACAAAAGTCGGAACTGGGCCAAAACGCCTTTGTCTGAGGATAATATCTGTAGCAGTTAGACTGGTAGATCCTCCACTCAGAAGGACACCGCAATGACGATGCTATAGATGCTAATATAATTGTTAAACAAATGGATCTCATTTTCTGTTGGTACCGTATCTAATAATATCTTTGGTGGCTTATGTATAAATGTTAAGTCAAGAGAGTTGTTGAACCTTAGGTGTTTATATTCCATATTCATGGCATATAATCCTTGATTTCCATGTCCGGGTTGACTCTCGACATTTCTACAGGAAGAATCAGCCAATACCAGTAAAGGTGATAGTATTGTTTCATAAAATTATACGACTCTATGATTGATATCTGAAGTTACGTTTGAGTTTAGGCGAAGTAAAAGTGGGCGGAGCCACGAGGCAGCCCAGAACCCCTTAGGGTTGCTTTATCGAATTAAGTCTCACAATCTGTAAGAGATTTTCTTCCAAACAGGGAAAACCAGTTCACTCCGACGGGGATAGGGGGGGGGGGGGTTGATTGGCGCCACCACAACATGGTGTGCTGAATATTATAAGAAACAAATAAAATAGATATTAACACGATTAGCAGGCCTTCATCCTGCACCAAACATTGGACATGAACTGAGTCAAGTATTTGAGTGTTACTTTAAAACAATAGGCCCTACCGGTAATATTTATGATTTAATTTCTTTTTGGTTAACCAAATTATTAATTTCTTCCAAGAAATACCGGCAATAATCGTATAGAAAAAGATCGTATAGCCCCGCTACGCGGCGATAGCGGCGCTATACGATCTTTGACCATAGCATATGCCTTTCCGATTCCCCACCCGTTTCAGTGAAGAGAAAGTCTATAAGGCTCTCTAGACCAGTTGAATATTTTCACTATTTATTTTTATTCATCTTGCCATTTCGTTTCCTTCATACATCATAAAGTAATTATGATATAATGATAATGATGATACTATTGGTAATGATAATGACAATTATGATAATCCTAATGAGAATTAATAGGAAAAGTAATAGTACTGTAGGTCTAATAGTCATATTGACCTATTTTATGATAATAATAATGGTGGTGGTGATGAAGATAAAGTAAGATGATCATGATGATGTGGATGATGATTTTTTTTTATTGTTGTCAGATGATGTTGATTATGATGGTGAAGATAAAAAAGATGTTATTGATGATTATGGTGATGGATGACGATGACAAATAAAAGAAGGCCTAAGTAGGTTGTTATATTATTTAATTTGTTTAAGACGATTATAGCATACAAGAGCAATCAATTATGATACATATAGTGTAATTATAATACAAACTAATAAATTGTAAACAAACACGGTAAGCAAAATTATTCTTCATGATACTACTATTGTTCCAAAGTTACTCTAAATATAACATGTATGGTGCTGCCTTCAAGTCCTTGGTTCAAATCCTGAGAGAACCAGACTATTTTTCCAGTCACTGGAAATAACTCCAATTCTTAAGCATAATGATGAATTTTAGAGTATAGAATCTATCTTGCAAGTAGCTAACCATGCTGTTTGATGATTGAGATAAGCTGCATGCGAAGTCGGTGCGCCTATTATACACGTTCCCTTTCTTAAAAGTCTTTTTTTGGTCTTCTTTTATTCCAAATCATTTTGCAGCCTAGTAAGAAAAATTGATCGAAAAAAACGCAATAAAATTAGGTAAGCGTTAACAATTAAAACATTTCTTAAATTTCCTTATTGTGTATACAGTAGTTCTATAGTAAGTATTATCATAAAATTTAAAAGTAGAAAGAGAAAATATTTACCAGTCACATAAATAATGTCAATATGATTTGCATGGACTATAAATTGACTGGTAAAAACTTCTAATTTAATAATTTTTATGATAACTAATAAAATAACAATAACAATAATAGTTATTATTGTTATCATCATTATTTCTGTATTATAATTGTAATCATAATAACATAAATGATATTACAGATTAATTACCCTATAAATGATTCGGCGTCTGCGCCCTTATGACGTCTGTTTAGATAAATATAGCCGATCAATAATAAAATAATAGCAGTCAGTGAGACAGTCACGACAATGAAGCCGACGATAAGATTGGTATTTGATTGGCTAGTTTGATTGTCAGCTTTTGACGTTACTGTTGAAAAATATACAAAAAACGTTATGCGTTCGACTATATACAAATTAGTATTAAAACAAAACTATGATCTTGCAGCAAGAATATCAATCCGGAAAAAAAAAATTCTTGTGTTTTGACAAGATTTTAACCAACAGGAAAGCTATTGCTCTACTTTTCTATTTATTGACCTTTGCATATTAGAGTCTGTTTTTATTTTAAACTTATTATTCTCATGAACCTACGTTTTTGTAGACCGCAGTTATTTCCGGAGTGATCGGACGAACACAAGCAACTAGTTTCGTTCGTTTCCTCATTGGTGACACAAGTACTACCGTTCAGACAAGGGTTACTAAGGTAACCTAAGTAACAATAACAATGTACAATGTAAATGACATTTTTATGCGTTAGGATAGGATAGGATAGGAGTATTATGTCGGTTTGAATCACACCAAGGATAGCCCACTAAAGTCCGAAGACTTGTTTCCAGTGGGGTCCTTCTAGTGGTGAATTGTACAGCACACCGGGAGAAAATCCCTACTCTTTTCTGAAGAATGTACTGACATTTCCTCCATGGTACTGAGCTCTTTAACACATGGGCCATATTGCACACGGGACCAAGGCTTTACGTCTCATCCGAAAGACGGTGCGCTAACACAAGGAGAGCACAGCAATGGGAATTGAACTGGGGGACCTAAATATGGAACGCCAAAAAGACAAAATACAAGTGGCAGCAGTGCAAAACTGAGAGTCACAGTGCAAAACTGAGAGTCAGCAGTGCAAAACTGAGAGTCAGCACTGCTAAACTGAGAGTCAGCAGTGCAAAACTAAGTAGTGCAAAACACAGAGTCAGCAGTGCAAAACTGAGAGTCAGCAGTGCAAAACTCAAGTGGCAGTGCAAAACATAAGTGGCAATGCAGAACGCCAATGGCAGTGCAAAACTCAAGTAGACGCCGTCTATTTTAAATTAAAGTTTCACAGCTTTTTTGGACAGTGTCAACAAGGCCTATTTGAAAATGGATGAAATTTTGAGGTCACTTGGGCACTCTTTTAGTGACCATTGACAATTTTGAAAGGGAGGTTTATGGAACGCCAAAAGGACAAAATACAAGCGGCAGCAGTGCAAAAACTGAGAGTCAGCAGTGCAAAACTGAAAGTCAGCAGTGCAAAACTGAGAGTCAGCAGTGCAAAACTGAGTCAGCAGTGCAAAATTGAGAGTCAGCAGTGCAAAACTGAGAGTCAGCAGTGCAAAACTGAGAGTCAGCAGTGCAAAACTGAGAGTCAGTAGTACAAAACTGAGAGTCAGCAGTGCAAAACTGAGTCAGCTGCCGCTTGTATTTTGTCCTTTTGACGTTCCATACCTAAGTGATCTCACCAGTTCAGCCGACTGAGCTAAGATGCTCTTGCTTGCGTAAGTTGCGCACCTATTAAAAGTTAAAGGGGCAGTCGCAAAAACAATAATGAATATTTACCGTTGCTAGTGGCACCACACGTCATACCTATGTATGGAGGCTTACACTGACATATGTAGAATGGTGCGACTGAGATCGAATGACAAGTGCCTCCATTTTCGCACGGGTCTTCTTTACAATGACCTATAGAAGAGAAATAGGCCCTATTTAAAGTCAAGTAATTTATGTATTTTAGTGTTTTTTAAAGTTTTTCGGCGATGTATTTTGTACCTACTGTAATTTCCTTTTTCACAAAATAAAGCAATCTGAATCTGTAACATTTGTACATCTGAAAATGTTTTGCATACTGTTTTAAGTTATTACACTGCCCATGAAAGAGTGTTTATTTCGAAACGAAATAGTCACTTTATAACAATATTATGCATCTCCTAGTATTAGCCTATGTTGATCTTTTATTCATTCACAGGAGTGTCTCGACAATTACATAATGGGTGATGTTATAAACCAAGTATCTTTATGAGGTTTGGGGAGTGGATTTTCTTTATTCGTGTTTCGCTGACGCACAGGAATAGAACCCACGACCCTGGGATTAGAAGGCAACAATCTTACCACTAAGCACACAACTCCACTCCTCTTAAATTCTCTTGTGTCTACTTGCTTTATTTAATTACTAAACCACTTTTTTTTTTAAAGAGGTCTACCACAGTATGACATGATACGAAGTCAATGTCCAATGTAATTAAGCTTAGGCCTATCAAATCATAAAGGTCTATATTATAATCAATGGTGTATCTAGAATGCGAGGGAAGGGGGCACTCGTCCCTCCAAAAATTACTAGCATCCTCCGCCACCCTAGTACCCCCCCCCCAAAAAAAAATTACTGTCAAGTAGTTAAAAATCACCTAAAACCACCCTATTTTGCGAGTTAGTGCCCCTCAACTGATCACCGAACTACTAAAATTTATATTTTTTACTACAATGTCTTTCGATGCTTTATTCCACATGGCAATACAAAAACAAGCTCATGGTGGATTAAAAAATATATACATAGGCCTATACAACATTAAAAAGACAATTATACAAATAATAAATCCACATAATATAGTAATGTAGGCCTATATTCATTACAATAAGTTGAGTTCTCCCTCCAATTAAAGACCATCTCCAATTAAAGAAAACATTTCTGTGGCCTCCGTCGGATGGTTATCTTTTATCATTAGCCCTCCAATTAAATATTTTCTCTATTTAGAGACAATGGCTTTGGTAGCTCCACTACAAAATAAAGAGTGATCTTAATGCATTTTTGTTCTACAATAAATTGTGTTATATATGACTTACACGTAGATATATTAGCCAATGCACTGTTTTGTGTATAGCGTTTTGTATATTGAATGACGATAATGTTAGTAATATTTTAATGGAAAGACAAGTGGATGTTTGTCTACCAAGAAATGTTTAATTAAGAATAAATAAGAGCATGCAGTTACTGTACAACCATTTTAAAACATTTAATGTATTATTTTTTAATTTCCATCTAAATAGAGAAACATAAAGACCACATTTAGTACCCATGAGTTCCAAGTCTCCCGTAGAGTCTCTGAATGGAGTCTCCTGGAAACTGGCAGGAAGAACCCTGCATTCTGGGCCACGATCAAGCACGAATCTCCCGAAATAAACCATCTCCCGCAATTCATGATGATATTTGCATGCTTTAACAAGTTTTTATACTGTAATATTAATTGTCTGCGCAGCAGTTAGTACCAATCATTAATGGTTAACACCATGCACAGCAAAATTTAAATGTCATAAGAAAATTCATTTAAACAGATCCGGATGTGAATTCTTCCAAATTGGGACCCCTGTTGAGTGGCTTTTAATTCTTAAATATAATGATTCTATTTGACACTAAAAAACCACTCTGGTTTTGGAAGATCAAACTGAAAATTTCTACTTTAAAATGTATAAAATTGGTTCTAGTCTTTTTACGTACAACAGACATTAAAATATACATCAATAGCTGACGTTCTTTGAGTGCTCCGTATTGAATGCCATTAGTTTTTGTATGACATGAATTTGTATTTTTTGAATTAAATGGAGCGCAAGACTACTTCGTGTGTGGCATGCAGTAATCTATTCTAGAACACTTGGAAGAAAAAATTCAACCGTAATGCATAAAGCATTTAAAATAAATATATGATGATAGTGATGATTAAGATGATGTTTTGTCTATCAGTGCTCTATATTAAATGGACGGTGCTGTTAGTGATATTGTAATGGTTAGGTAGAACGAGCACAGGACTTGACTACCGGGAAATAGTTTTAGCATTAATAATAATAACAATAATAACAGCTTACAGTAACTGTAGGCCCTACATCCATTCTAACAATCTTACATTTTCTATATTATTTCTTAATTCACCTCTAATAAAAAGACTACTTTTAAAGCCGCTCTATAATTATAGGGATTCAAAGTAGAGACCAAAGCTGCTAAAGACCAATAAAACCCTGGTTCTAAAAAAGATGTTTAATTGGTGGTATGGAGAGGGAGACCTGTGATAGGATTGAGAAAAAATGGTCCGGCCAAAGCCGGTGCGGTTCCGACGGCCCTGCAATATTACTTTGATGTCTGACGAGAGGTGACATGATGCAAGACAATGCTAAATACGATTAGGCCTAAGCTTAGACCTATTAAATCATAAAGCTCTCTATTATAATCACATTAAAGCAAGATGTAGTCCCACAGTCAATTGCAGGTGAAAAAGACATCTCTGTCTTAATAGTTATCAGGATCTCATGTATCTTAAAGAAATTGATGATGATAAGGTGTCATGGCTAAGTTTATTTTAATTGTTAGTATGTCCTGATAAATGCAACGTAACTATTCTTTAACAGAAATTGTATGTTAGTTATATACCAGTTTTGAGATAAATTTGAATATATAATGCTTTCAACTTTACCGATATACGTCTGACACGTGACTCCAGAATAATCTTCAGGGCATGTGCAAACAAAAATTTCCTTCTCGAGATCCTTCGAGCAATTTCCACGATTCATACAAGGAAACGCTAAACAGCCTGTAAATCAAATCAGGAAAACCATAATTGTTTGAACTTTCAAACTATACTAAGAAAAACAATGAAAACTGTGGTGAGAACGGAACAAGCTTACATTTATGACCATATTATGATATCAAATATCTTTAAGTATTTGCAAACTAGTATCGAAAGAAATATGGTAAATACATTTTATTTTAAAAAAAAGCAAGCTTTTGTTTGAATTATGGTATTTTTGTATTATACCGGTAAGTATTATAACAATGGGAATTGGATTGGATTCTTCGGTGTGGAATACACCAAGAATAACCCACATATTAAGCACAGAAGTCCTCAGACTTAATTCCAGTGGGGTTCTTCTGGTGGTGAATAGAGCAGTACACAAGTGATAATGCCTGAAGAGTGTACTGCGTTCGTTGATAACGTGCACTGGTGCAGATTGCACACGAGACCAACGGCCTAAACGTATCTATACCCCAGTGTGCTAAGCTGGTTGGAAATATTAAACTCATTACATATTATACCTTCATATATTTCACAATGAGTTCCTGTGAAACCATCGTCACATCCACAAGAATAGCTCCGCTCATTATTGATACATTGCCCACCATTCTGACATGGATTACTCATGCAGCCTGAATAAGTAATGTAATGATTAAAATAATTCGGGTCAATAAAGTCACAAAACATTCATAACAATTCAATATTTAATATCAATTACTTTCACATGCAACTAAACACACTTTGTTTTCAATGACAAAATGCGACTGTATAGTGCAATAGTTAAACTTGACGTACGTTTTCTTAAGAGGTACTGGATCTGCTCAGACTATGGAATTGGTTATATGAAGAAAAATTTAAAAAAAAAAGATCTTCTCATGAGTACCATTGACTGAACAAAGATACCAGAGCAAGCTTAATAAATGACAAGGATGGATATGTCGGTGAAATAAAAATCGAATTGGAAAATACTGCAAGTAGGCAGGACGCAAGAAACAATGTAGCAGCTGAAAAATGAGCTCCAACAAAAGCTATTCGTGATGTATATTAAGATATAAAGGATAAAGAAACCACCAGGCGCGTAAAAGGGGTCTTGGGTCAGGGGGGCAAAGGTAATAATTTTCCCGGTTAGTAATTTATCATACCCACCCCACCACCCCCTCCCCCAATATAGAAAATAATACGACATAGGGCTTATGTTATTTATAATATACCATAGGCCATACACGTGTGTCTGAAACTAAATATAAGCATTTTCATCATGGTTTTATTTATTACAAACATATTCTTTCACCAACAATACACATTGAGGCCTTTTAGGTAAAACGATCTATCTTAAATTTTCTTTCTTGAGTTTTGGACTATTATGTGTTTAAATAACTCTAAAAAGCCCTTAAAAGATGCGCGCGAACCGCGCAAAAAAATGTGTGTTTTTAATTCTAATTTCGTCTGAATTGAACAAAACTCCATTAAATGTGCAATTTTTAGAGGAAATTGGCCTATACTTTAACAAGAAATGCGTGCGAAGCGCACGAAATTTGAGATTTTTAGGCACTTTCTGAGGGTGAAAAGGGCATCTTTAAGTTAAGGGGTGGGGAAAGATTTTCTACAGATGGATATTTTCCCCTTGTCCCCCAGTGGTTACGCCACTGCGGAGAATATCTGGTGGCTTAGATCAAAGGAGCTATGCACACGTTTTGAATTGGAGAAGGGGTTGCAGGGTGTTGTGAGTCTGGTCATTATGATATCTTACTTTTTATTCTTGTCTTTATTTTCCTCTTCTCTTTTTCTTTTCCCCTCCTTTCCCTTTCCCCTTCTTTCTCTTTCCCTCCCTCACCTCTCTTTCTTTTCTCTTATTACCCAGCCCGGTACGACGGCTTGGTCAGCCCGGTAAAAACCGTCAGTATTAATCAAAGACATCGGAATGGAATGATGACATGGAGCAACGGCTGCAGAGGAAGTTGATAACGCCATTGCTTACATGAAAAGGAATAAGTTACCTGGTTCCAAATCATGGACACTCAAAAATCTGACAGACAAGTTGGCAGCTTTCGAAATGTAAATCCTTAGAAGCAACAAAGTTAATAATGAAGAAGGAAGTAGATTGAAGGTAATAAAAAGAAAGATTTTTGTCAGAAAGGAGGCTTCAGCGACTGCTAATTGACGGTAAAATGGATGGAAGAAGGGCAGTAGGCAGACCAAGAGATTCTTGGACCAGAGGCATCATCAGAGAATGGTTTGGTATTGCTTAGGAAAATTTGCCAGGATGAAACAGAAGCAGGGGTCTTGCCAGCTGTACTTAAGCGTGGCGGGACCGCCACGCTTGGGCGAAAAAAACGAAATGACCACCACGCTTAGGAAAAATAAGCAACAATTGTACAACGCTTAAAATGTTTGCGCCACACTCAAAAATATGTACTAAGTATATTTTGTTCAAAATGTTACTACAATAAATACCAAAGTGTCGAACTGCAATGTTGCCATGGGGAACAGTACGGTTCAATCGCATATCATCATGAGGCACCGCCTTCAATTTCAAGCTCAGCTGCAGGATCTCGCCTGTGCGTGCAAGTAGCCATACCGTCTGGGAGGTCCAGTTTCAGTTTCAGTTTATTTATTTGACCAAAAGATGGTCGGGGGAAGCTTAAGCAAACAAATCACTATAACTTTTTCAAGCCAGCTGCCCCCTCCCTCATAAAATATACAATATGATAAGATAACAATTTAAATCACAAAAGACTAGGTCGGCTAGTGGATAGGGCGCGTTCAGTACCGTACATGTGTGGCGATTAAAATGTTCAGTGAAGTGTCTGTTTTTTTATGAACGGATATTTATAAACGGACTTCCCCCTGAAGGTTTTACCGGGCTGACCAAGCCGTCGTACAGGGCTGATAGAAAAGAGAAAAGAAAGAGGGGAGAGGGAGGGAAATAGAAAGAAGGGGAAAAGGAAAGGAAAGGAAAAGGGAAAAGAAAAAGAGAAAAAAATATATCCATCTGTGGAAAATCTTTCCGCACCCTTAAAGATGCCCTTTCACCCCCTGAAAGTGCCTAAAAATCTCAAATTTCGCGCGCTTCCCGCGCATTTCCGATGTTTAAGTAGTCCATTTCCTCTAAAAATTGCACATTTTAGGGAGTTTTGATCAATTCCGACGAAATTTGAATTAAAAACACACCATTTTTTTACGCGCTTCGCGCGCATTTTTTAGCGGTTTTTTAGGGTTAGACTTCTAAGTTATTTAAACACATAATACCAAACTCAAGAAAGAAAATTTAAGATAGATCGTTTTACCTAAAAAAAGGGCCTCAATTTGTAATGATGGTGAAAGAATATGTTTGTAATAAATAAAGCCATAATGAAAATGCTTATATTCAGTTTCAAAAAAACGTGTGTGGCCATATATAATATAAGCCCTGAACTAAAAAACAAAACAAAACAAAAACGAGGTATATAAATCCATCTATACATTATTATTATTATTGTTTACATGGATTTTCTTGCTAACAACTTTGGAAATTGTGGCAACATATGGTAATTTGAATTAAAATGTGATCGGTGTATTTTCTTCAGTGTTTTCCAGTGTAATTTTGCTTTTACATTGAACTGAATTGACATAACGAAAAATAATTTGATCAATGATGAATGAAGGAAAACAGTTTTTCTTAAGGATGGTAGTTAATGCCTTAATGTCTGTCTAACTATTGTTGATTTTGTTAGCCCTATCAACTAACGTGCGAATAAGACCGATTCTTATTCAAAGAAGCTGCTGTATATATATATATATATATATATATATATATATATAAATCATCATATATATTGACGTTCTATTGGCCTCAATTTATAATATATTATGTTCAGAAAAAACAATATAATCATATATATATATATACATCTAGATGTGTATAAGAGACAGATTCTGACATGGCTTACGTTTACTTTTTAGCTGTTGCTTATCATTTTTGTATCTCTACTGAGATCCAGCCATTGTTTCCCACAGCATTGTTGTTTTCCAGTATTTTGCCTTTTAATCTATATATATATATATATATATACGTCCTATTGGCCTCGATCTATAATACATTATGTTCAGTAAAAATCAACACTTCAGAAACATTATCTAGGTTCATGAACTTATTGATAATGACTTGTCTTTATCTGTAATAATGCGTGACACCTACCGATTTGTACTTACCATTATACCATGAGCAGTCTATGCAAGAATACGGTGATGGACAAATGCATACTCTGTCGTCGCTAAATTTTCCGCCATTTTTGCATTCGGTACTGCCTACAATTAGAGTGCAAACCACTTTATTATTTATCTATGCCCTTAGTGCAGTGCTTTGGTTATTATATTTTAGAACACAAATATGTAAATGCAGAGCGAAGGAGAATTGTTGAGGGAGGTAAAAACAAGATGAAAAAATAAATGAAAAAATAAAAAAATTAAAATGGAATTATTAATTCTTGTAACTTTATAACAGATAGCTAACGTTCCTTCATTTTCCATAATCTGAATAAATGCCTCTAGGCCTATATGAAATAATGAAAGGAACTCAGATTTTACCGGACGCTTAAATTACCACAGTGCCTTAGTGGTCTATGAAGTCCACCATGTATGCGAAAGGTCCCGGGTTCGAGCCCCGGTGGAAAATAATACTGAATTTATTTCTTTCTTTGTAAGATTCCACCTCTGTTACGTTTTAATTTATATTATTCATTGCATTTTTCCGCTTGCTGTTTCTGGATTTTCCCTCGCCTTTAAATCACTTACGTTTACTTTTTAGCTGTTTTGCTTATAAAAAAAACATACATACATACATACATACACACACACCTTTATATAGGCCTATATATATATATATACTGTCTCTTATACACATCTAGATGTGTATAAGAGACAGGGACTAAGCCGTTCACTTACTTTCATAGGGTGACTTAAGACAGTCATCAGCAGGCACTTTGCAGACAAAATTCAAACTCTGCCTATCAACATCATCCCATTGCGATGGAAAATTAGAATTCCACATTGAGCCATAATGTTGTATGGAACTGTCCGGTTGCCCGGGGGCCCAATTACTGTAATCAAACGGTGACCCATCAGTCCAATGCCATGTTCGTTCCCTGTGGTTCACATTATTGTATAGCCCAAGTTGAACGGTAATGCCTGACGGCACGATAGAGAATACAAATGCATTTTCGGCTGGGCTATGTATAGATACCAATTCACTGTTTATTGGCTTGGTGCTGGTCCATAGAGTTTAAAGAAACAGGCACGTATATTATTTTAAATAATAGCTACAGTATATAACAGTATCTTAAAAAAATGAAACATCAAGTAACAGATACAATATCATTTTAATTGTTTATCTTTCATCTACAATTTGAAATATACGCTTCTTGTCGCCGTAAAAGTATACGACCGATCAACGGCTTAAAGAACTCTCATTGACTAAAGCCAAGGGCCTCTCGGCCCTTAAGAGTCCCCAGGATATCAATCGACTTTGTTTACAATGACCATGGGTTAAGCCATGGGCCCCGGCCCTTAAAAGCAGTGGCAGCGCCAGCATTTACCCGACCGGGGGGGGGGAACTGATGTCTCCGACGAGAACAAAATGGGCGTGGTTGGCGTCGCTAAAAACCTTTCGAAAATGGTCCACGGGGCGAAGCCCTCCGAAAATAAATTATGACAATTAAGGTTTTCAGAAAGGCTCATTTAGTCGAGTCAATTAATATGTAAAAAATATATATAATTTTTTTTCTCCCCGACGAATTATGGTTTATCTCCCCGTTGGGGAGAAGGGGAGGGGGAGGCAAGACCTCCCCGACAGGGGGGCGGCTGTAGCGCCACCACTGCTTAAGAGACCCCGGGATATTAATCGGCTTTTTTGGTCCCAAATCGACCGAATGGGGCGATTTAAGGAGCAGAAAGTGTAAACAAAAACATAAAAATAGTGGCCTGTCAGGCGCCAAAATCGGTCCGCCGGACCTATTTTGGCTTTAAAATTACCTGCCAAACGCAGCAGTTTACATAAGCCAAAATCGGTCTGGCATCTATTTAGTAGTTATAACCTGTATTTTTTTTTTACCGTTGTTTATATTTGTTTTTAATCAGATGATAGATAAATATCTGATCTCTTATTATACAACATTTATCTTATTATACAGCCACAAAAATTAGTATGTTATTTTCGCTCTTCGCGCCTGTAAACTTTTGGTGTAAAAGTTAGAAAACACGTTAAACGATACCATCGTAAATCGTGTTGGTCCGATTTAGTTTATTTTTTTACCTTGTTTTGTTTTGGTTGTGTGCTTGCTCAACGTCGCGACGAAATACATAAGCAATCATTATTTCAAAGAAATTATTGACCCCTTTATTTTCATTTAATAGAAGAACTTTGTATAACCTAATACCCCACACAATAATACAGAATATTAAAACCTAATAAATCAGTTTTGTGTTTCATTTTAGGCCCAAACCTAGGCCAGGCACAGCCGCCAAATATGATGTAGCTGTATGCTGTGTGTTGCCTAGGCCAGGAAATGCGTCATCATGCGTGTTTGATATTAAAACACGTCCACAAAAGTTTAATACGAACTATTGGCCGTATTCGACTGGTCGTTTTTCGTTAAGCCACGCCCACCTGCGCAGTGGTAAAATCTTACTACGAAGACAACCAGTCGAATAGAAAACTGGTAGATACTCGACAAAAAACAATGGCTGCATAGTTACCGCGATACACGCTGCGTAATCAAGTCTGCTTCGGATTGTGGCAGTATGGGTTTTTCGTTAAAAAATGGTTTCATCCAGTTTTTTAATTCTGTTAGCCTACAATTATTTTTTGGCTTCAATGTGGGTATATATTATAATTTCTTTCTAAAATTTAATCTAAATTATATTAACGCAAATGTTGTTGCTAATCTGACCAATCGGCCATATTTTTTTGGTCACGTGCATAACTTAACGCATTCTGGTTACGTTAATTTTTGTTGGATCAATGAAATCAATTTTACGAACCAGTCGAATGAAAATAATACTCAACGAAAATTCGTACTTAACGAAATGAACTAGTCGAATAAACCCACTCTGTCACTGAAAAAGATTTTTCAAGTGCGAGAAGCATAAATTATTTCCTTCCACTCCACGGAAGAAACAATTATACCCTCGGGCAGCAGACACGTTACAAGCGGCCAGGCCGACAGACCAATTTTAATCAAAATCGACCCGGTGGACCGATTGTAGCGGCCGAAACTAGTCCGGCGGACGGACTTTGGCGGCAAAAATGTGTCCGCTGAACTTTTTTTTTGGCCCGGACCAATTTTGGCATGACAGGTGTCCTATGCATTTAAAGTGCAAGGGGGTTCGCCCCTTATTGAGACAATCTCAGATCTTCGGTCTCTATGACCTGAAAAGGCCTTAGCCAAAGGGCCTTAAAAAACCGCCCGTGACGCGCAGTTCTACCAATAAGAGTTCTGTACCTATAGACTGTAGACATGTTCGATTGAAACCTCAAACAAAATAAAATAGGAATACTGTATTGCTTACCTATGTGCAGAGTAAAATACCTGCTGCCTACAATAATCCGAACCGGGCCAAAACCGCATTCGCTGGAGATAATATCTGTAGCAGTTAGACTGGTAGCGCCTCCACCCAGAAGGACACCGCAATGATGATGCTATAGATGCTAATATAATTGTTAAATAAATGGATCTCATTTTCTGTTGGTATCTAATAAGATCTTTGATGGCTTATGTATAAATGTTAAGTTAACAGAGTGTTGTTGAAACTTATAGGTGTTTATATTTGAATATTCATGGCATAGAGTCATTGATTTCGATGTCTGAGTTGACTCGTGACATCTGTACAGGAAGAATCAGGATCAGCCAAGCCAATACTGGTTATAATATAGTTCATAAAATTCTATGATTGGTAAAGCGTTTAGGCAATGTAAATTTCTCCCACAGTAAAAGTGGGCGGGGCCAGTGGCAGCCCAGAACACATAGAGGCGTCCAAGGCAATTTAGGGATTTGACAGGAATTACCAAAGTTTAAACTCACAATCTACGAGCAAGCACTTGTGACGAATCTCCCGAAATAAACCATCTTCCGCAAATTCATGATGATATTTGCATGCTTTTACACATTTTTATACTGTAATATCGATTCCCAGCAGTTAGTGCTAGTCATATGGTTATCACCATGCACAGCAAAATATATTTAGATGAACACTCATTCAAACAGATCTCACGGATGTGGATTCTTTCTCCCAACTAGGCCATTTGGGCTTTGTTGAGAATTCAAATCCGATTGAAGCACCTAATTCCTTCACACTCATGCGCATACGTACCGATATTAGACAGCACTACTCCTTAATGCATGGCAAATGACAGAGATCAATAATATGATACGCCCTCTTATCAGCAATTTACGACAAGCCGAGATCTCCGAAGAGATTCGTTTTATAAGTAAATAATAATACAATAGAGATAAACTCTAAATCGTCTTGCGGTAATGCTGTAAATGTATATACATACATTTTTAAACGTTAAAGAAGATGAATCTGCGAGTGTGAAAAAAACGGTCCTTCAACCAGGATTCGAACCCGGGACCTTCTGATGTATATACATAAAGTAAGAAGTCATACAAAGTTCTGTATCTGCCTCAAAATTAAATATTTATTGTACTAGTACTTTCGACCATAGGTCATCATCAGGTACTGATAGGATAGTAGGATGAACAAGTTTATATATAGAGAACATATACAAAAGAAGCGCTGGTATCAATAAAGCCTAAACGGCGGTACTGACTACATAGCGGCAGGGGCGGATTTAGAAGGGGGCTAAACAGGCTTTAGCCCCCCCCCCCTAAAATTTCATAGCCATTTCTTTTTAACTGCTTTTTGAAGGTCCAAATTAAAATATTGTTTAATGTTTTCTTCACACACATTATATTTATGGGCTAAACATTTTAAAGTAGTTGTTTTTCAGTGATAAAATAAAAATGAAATACGTTTTTAACCGATCAGCGGACAAAAACGTAGCTAAGAAAGCTGCTTTTGCCTTGCCTTCATGCTCA